CGATCGGGCTTTACCAATAATCCCAAACATGTCTCTATTATAGTTTTTTGCACAATGTGGGTTTTCCAGTAAATGCTGCCAGATAGCAGAATCGCAGGTTTTAGTTGTACTTTTAGATCTGCAAGACCGAGGTGGCTGTTGTCTTTGGGGATGAGTTTTGTTTCTAATGCTAGACGGAACATGTTGTTTTATTCTATCCTCCAATCTTTGGGTAGTGTGTCCTACCTCTTACGTAGCCAGAACCACACTGGCACGAAAATTCGTATACAACGGAACTCTTCTGTGAGGTAGAAATGCAATCCATTTGAATAGAGGGAAGGGCCTTTTTTGTACCGCAAACAATGCGTGGATTCATTGCAAAGAAGCAATTTGAGACGGCCTGTTCTATCTGTATTTCGAAACGCAAGCAACTGTTACTGAACTAAGGTAGTTTCAGATAGACCGGGCACTTTTTGGGACCAAATTTTACGTGTAGTCAATTTGGGACCCAACAATTTCAGTTGTGTTTAGTTAACGAGGATGTGTTTTAAATTGTGTTGTTATGTTTCGAGAAAGACTATTTGATATTAGGTATACCATTTCAATAATTTTTACATCTTTTTAAACTTTTTCTTTGGATGAAAAAAAACGGATATGTGGGAGGGGGGGGAGGCAGTTCGTAAAAGGGGTGCACATCATGGTCCAATGAAAAGTCAGCAAGAGAAGTACGCAAAAAATGTCCTTTCTGACAAGCAGATCTTAAAACTAATCAGCTATTGAATTATTTTCTAATTAATGAACGAACTAACTAACAAACTAGCTATATGAATACGTTGACTGATTAATTAGCTAACTAAGTAACTGAAAAACTAGCTAACTAACTTTAGCTTACTAACTAACTAGCTAACTAGCTTTCTAACTAACTACCTAACTAGCTAAGTTACTAACTAACTTACTAACTTATTACTAACTAACAAACTAGCTATGTGAATAAGGTGACTGACTAATTAGCTAACTAAGTAACTGAAAAAGTAACTTTTAGCTTACTAACTAACTAGCTAACTAGCTTTCTAACTAACTACCTAACTAGCTAAGTTACTAACTAGCTTACTAACTTACTCATTAACTAACAAACTAGCTATATGAATAAGTTGTCTGACTAATTAGCTAACTTAGTAACTGAAAAACTAGCTAACTAACTATTGCTTACTAGCTAACTAGCTAACTAGCTTTCTAACTAACTACCTAACTAGCTAAGTTACTAACTAACTTACTAACTTACTCTGACTAATTAGCTACTGAAAAACTAGCTAACTAACTATTGCTTACTAGCTAACTAGCTAACTAAACTAACTACCTAACTAGCTAAGTTACTAACTAACTTACTAACTTACTCATTAACTAACAAACTAGCTATATGAATAAGTTGTCTTACTAATTAGCTAACTTAGTAACTGAAAAACTAGCTAACTAACTATTGGTTACTAGCTAACTAGCTAACTAGCTTTCTAACTAACTACCTAGCTAACTACCTAACTAGCTAAGTTACTAACTAGTTTCCTAACTTACTGACTAGCTAGCTAGCTTACTAACCAGCTAACTACCTGACTAGCTATTTTACTAACCAACTAACCAGCTAGCTTGCTAGCTCGCCAACTAGCTTACTATCTAATTAACCAACTTGCTAAATATCTAGCTACCGAACTAAGGAGCTAACCAAATCACTTACTTACTAACTAACTAACTTAATGACTGCTATCTTGTCCTTTTTATGAAATTTTCCTTCGATTCACAAAGATCACCAAAATATTCTTTGAAACTTTCTTTAGGTCCAATTTGAAGCTATCTCTACCCCAAAAAATTTGCTGTTTTTCCCCTGAGGTTAGAAATGAGATAAAGTAGCTCATTTTACATATTTGTGGCAATTCTTCCACTGGAGTACCGAATAGTCGTCCCATTGGTCATTGATTTTTCCTCACATTAAACTCCAAACTTTTTCGAACCCATTATTCTCACCCCTCCTTCATTTATTCGGTACTTGAGGGAAGTTGTCTGCTTGTTCGTCAGTTCTAGAAAGATCTGATCTGCAGCTGTGCTGACATTTGAGCCAATCCGTTTTAAATTACAATTATGGTAAAGCCCGAACATTCTTTAAGTTATGTGCCTTGATTATTTGCATTTGATCAATTGCGCTCCTTTTCTATATCTTTTATCAACAAGGCACTTTGAAATCGAACAATTATTCTACATTGCAACTGTACTATGCTAAAACCACTTTAGTCCGACGCATCAACATCAAGATCTCAAACCAGCAAACATGTTCTCGCTTCTTTTAGTCCATACCATCAATTTTTCACAAAAGCTATGTAGATGTAGTGAATGCCAAATTATTGAACACATTCTAAAGAAAAGGGTGAAGACAAAAAAAAACACATCTGATCCGTTGTTTGCCTAGTCAGTAAAAATGTTACTAAAATTAGATGTAACACATAATTATGGAAAGTACAGTATACCACCCACTTTAACATAGGCACCATGCCATCAGTTACAATATACCTCCTTTTAGGTTCCCTTTAATCCGGATTCCTGATTGAGACTCATGTTCTGAACAATCCTTTAATTTACCATTTTAGCAGACTCCAAGATGGTTGTTATAATGAAAATATACATTATGAAAGTTATAAGTATTACTTAGTATAAAATTAAACTGTAAAAGGCTTTTTGCTCCAGTGGAATTTATTTATGTTATTTCATGTTATAGTATGTTTTCAGTCCTCTTGGAGTCATCATAATAATTTTTTAACTGTAAGCCAATTTTTCGAATTTTTCTCATTTTGATGCATGAGGTTTGTTTTCACATCCAATAATAAATTACCCAATTTCTGGCACGACCCAACATGAAACAAAGATGCCAGTAGCCATTCTGTTATGCTTGGTGAGTGAAATTTTCACTGTTAGTTCCATTTCTTTGCCAGGTTTTCCTACATAACAAGTTTAAAACATAGTTTCTAATCTGAGTTGTGCTTGCAATCACCAAAATTCCATTCATGGCTGAATTGAAGTAGGCAAAAACATACGACCAAAGCACAGCATATCTGAAGTTCTCGTTAATAGCGTCTTGTAACGCAAGTAAAGATTGCACGGCCCCTAGTATCACCGACGGCAGATAGCATACAATCATACTGACAATTATGTATATAACACATCTTGCAAACTCGCGTTCTGCGTTCCGTATTTCATGCATCGATTGTTCTGCTTTGTTGGTTCTAGTCCTAATGGCAGCCACTCTATTCTTTACATAGATGTACGTGCGAAGGTATAAAATACAGAGCACTGTTAACAAGGTTGAATATAGAAAAGCAGCTACGAATGTGTAATAGAAATAGAACTTGTAAATAGAAGCAATCACGAGAGAGACTGAAACACACAGGTTTACCAAGATATTCCCAGCGATGAGAAAGCCGACTGTTCTACTTGTCATGACAGCAGAGTATTTTGTAAGGTACTTCATGTGTATGAATCTGTCGACCGAAATGATGAAAATCATTCCTCCAGACATCTGACAAAGAAAGTAAATTGTGAACTGGCAAATTATTGTAAGGCTGTCGATCGTCGATGGCTGCTTTAATATTATTGTAAACTGCAATGCAAGCTGGGAAACTCCAATGCAAATGTCTGAAATGCTCATGTAGAAAATGAACAAATATGAATATGATTTGAGCTTTTTTAACTTCCTCAATGCATGGATCAGGACAGAGTTGACGCCAATTATGAACAGACACGTGCTTGAACTTGCAACGAGATATAAAATTATTAAACTCTTTGGAAGCTGTACATCATAGATTATGGGTGAATTCCACTTCTTCTCCATTCTGCCAATTTTCTGTTTATCCTGCTTTTTACATCTAATATTCAATTACCTTGAATTGGTATAGACGTAATTAATTTCGTTTTTGAGGCAATATTCTCTTATAAGGCATACATTGAATGTGATTGAAGATCGGATGTCAATATTTGGTTATAAACCAGCCATCTCCGGGTCAAGGCATCAATGTAAGCTCAGACAATTTCGTTTCCAACTCCAAGCTCTTTTTGTAGCTGCGCTTTCTGCGGGTAGTAGATACGATATAAACAGTTTTTTGACTCGTTAACAAGAATATCTTACATTATTTCTCACATTTGTCGTCACAAACAATTATTTTAAAGAACGTTGTCGCAAGAATGCTCCTTGCAACATTATCAGTGTCAGGTGTTTTCAATCTGAGTGAAGCCACAATAGACAAGTAAACAGATTACGTCAGCAACGGCTGAAAGTGTCTTGCCCTACGTTTATTCAATTTCAGCAGCGATGCTTCCAAACGACCGCAGGTTCTCCTCTGTTTTATCTTGGTTCTTAAAATTTATAATCAAAGCTTAAACATCCACTTTTTTGTAGTAAACGCCTTTATCTTTCACTTGCCATATCGCAGCCATTTTAGAAAATTTAACTTATCTTTGTCTCAGGGGTACTTTTAAATAATCAGATCCCAATTAGAAGATTTTAGAAACAATTTTTATGACGACATAATTCTACTGCTCTCTTTACAACCTATTCCCTAGTGTTTTTGCAAACAAAAAAATGAAATTAAGCATGTAATCCCATCTTGCATTGGAATGACCTATTATGTTGCCGATCAATTTATATGAGTTTGTGTGAAAATGAGCTGCATTAAGGTGCAAATAAAAAATATTAAGTTGAAAAAATACAGAAGGAAGTGTTAATGGGAGGGGGGGGCAGAGTAGACAAAGTTAAAATAACCAGGATAGTTTCTCTGCAAGATAAATGTTAAGGAATTAGTGTTTATGTTGGACTAGAAAATTGTTGAAGAAAGACAAGCTTGCTCAGGAGTGAGCATGCACTAAGCTATAGACCATAATGGCTTAGAACCCTTAACCAATTCTTAAGAAATTTATCATTCTTTTATGGCATGACAGAAGTTTGATGGTTGTTTTTGATGAAACCTTCTGTTTGGATGTTGCAGGAGGTATCAACTTTCCAATAAATCAGCAGCCATTAACAAAAACACAATGGATCAGAAGAAAATAGACGAGCTAGAAGAGGAGATGTCCAGGTACTTTTGAAAATATTGCGAAATTTATCCAAAAATACTAACAAAAAAATTGTCGTCTAATTGATATTAACACTACAGCTGCTAGCGTGACGTACTTTTGTCGCGCGGTTAATTAATAAGATTCTTGTGGATGAAATGCCGAGTTAATGTTTGTGCGAATTATTTCATGCTACTTTTTTGCACAACGTGTTGTTAAACACGTAAATTTAACTCTTTTGCTAAAGTGGGTATTAGAAAAACGTACTTCAAAGTACACAAAGATTTATGAGGTGATACCTATCGCACATTGACAGGCTAATTTTGAAGTGTTTAGATGAGTACACCCAATGTTTGCACAAGAACCCTCTATAAGAATATCTAGCCTTGTATTTTTAAAGCTTAAGGAACTTTGGTACAAGATCTTTTCTGGTACATTTCTGGCCAAAAAACGATCAAGAGGCTTTTGGTGCTGTGTTATCAAACGTTTTTGTTTGATATGATTTTTTAAGCTGTAATTTCCGTGTCTTTAAATTTATTGCCAAAAATAAGAAATAATGAAATCTCTTCATTTTTACAGATATTCTTTGTAAACCGTCGCACATGTAAAATGGGACATATGTTTTTGACGGTTCAGATTTAAACTCTACATTCTTCATTAAAATCCCAGGCGATCTTAAGTTTGACAAAAATAACACAGTTTTCGTTACTTTTCCCTTAAATATGAGAGTTTTTAATCAGAGCTCTTAAGATAACAGTTTTTATCAAAACATCATCTTGAAGATTTTTCTGTCGCAAGAAAAAATTGAGTAAACAGTTAAAGCTGTAGATAATCATTAAATTATTATTTTGTCTCTCGTTTCATTAGGCCGATTGTTAGCTTTGTCGAAAACTGAGGTTTAAAATTCTTCTGTCAAAAAAACCGAAATTATTTCTGCTTTATTGGTTTGCATACGTCCATTACGATTTTTTATCTATCGGTGGACCGGTTAACTTAAGCAAAGGCAGTTTATGTACATCAAACAATTCAGGCCTAGGATTTTGTTTTTTTATTGAAAATGATGAGTAAAGTTTTTTTTGTTGAAGGCAGCTGCTTCCATTTTTTTGTTCAAGTAACTCTTGATTGGTTTTCGTTTGGGCGTATGAGAACAGCTAAACATAATAATTGTTCAGATTACTAATTGAGGCATTACACGTAAAATCAAGGACCGAGATCCCGGGGACCAGGGGGGGCTTGTCTCCCCCCCCCCCAAAAGCCTTAAGTGGCGTAAGAAAAGTACTTTTATTTTGTAAAATATGGCTGTTGTTACACTGATTTATCAGGTCTGCCCCCTCCAAACAAAGAGACTTAATCAGTTGGCAAAGAACATTTTTGCCACATTGAGAGAGTGGGAATAGGTAAATAATGGATTGTTAGCTAACTGTCGAAATATGCACACTATTTTATTATCCTAGAACTATGAAACTTTTTTAAAAGTAGATGCATGGCTTATATAATGTTTTAAAATAAGCAGATTGCAGGTAACCATCAAATGGTTGTTGTCTGCTCTGGATAATATGGTTCTTGATCTGGATAATGGTTGTCCAATGATTTTTTGCTAGGACTACAGAAGATGACTTTCGGAGAGGACAGGCTTTAGCAGGCCTTTTTATTCAACGGCCAGTTTTTGCCATTAAAACCTACCAAGACCCTTTTGGCATCAAGGTGATAACTTGTTTCCACACATTGTCGCTAAGCCTTAGAAAGGTTCTCTGACACCCAGAAAGGGTTGGGAACCCCAGTTGATCCTTAAATGTATGCACGATCTGAATTCTCTCTTTGTATTAGATCATTAGGGTAATGCAAAGGTTTCTCTCCAGCTGAAGCCCCCTGTTAAAGGCAGCAGTTCATTCGCATAGGTTATCGTTTGTTTAGGGGTTTCTCGATCCCTACACAAAAGCCTTTGTTTCTCTTTCTAAGAAGAGCGCGCAGTTTGTTTCCTTCCTGAGCCTGTGAACACGTGTTACATGTGTACCCGGATCTGCTCGTATCTATGTATGACGCTCCTTGATGGTCGAGTAAGATTTGCCATTAAATAAACTTGTAAATACGCCCAGCTTACTCTTACAGAGAGATCTTCTTTCCTCACCAGGTTTGAGCAAGAAATCGCCGGACAGTTGCCTCCTCCACCAAAGCCACCGTCGTTTGAAAATTCTGCGCACTCTTCAGAGTACAACCAACAAGAGTATGATGAGGCTCCTGAATACAGTTCCCCGGCATTCCCACATAATCTCGACCATCCTGCATTTAGAGAACGTGGTGGTGACTTTCCAAGGTTTCCTCATCCTGATTCTAGCCACATGCCTCCTGGGCTGCCGCACTTGCCGCCATTGCCCCCGCTGCCACAAGGACTACCACTACCTGAAGGCCTTCAAATTCCTCCTAATATGCCCCAGTTTGTTCCCCCACCTTTGCCCCCAGTTATGCTTAATCCAGTGCATGTTCCGTCTGCTCCAGTCATTAAACCCCCGACAGTTCCGTTAGACAATTATGACCCGTCAGAAGTGGTTGAAGACAGGACCGGGGAGACAGGTTATACAGGTGCTGATGGTCAAAGGGGTGACAAGAAAAGAGGGGAGAAGAGGAAATTTGTCCGAGTTGGTGGGGGTCAAACCTGGGAAGATGATACTTTGTCAGATTGGGATCCAAGTAAGTCGTTTGTGTTACTAGTCTTGGGTTTTTGATGAAGTTGAATGTTAGTTGAAAACCATTGATAGTAATTCCTTTTTAGATGTTACAGTAAGCTCATAATTAGCTTAGAAAGTGAGAAAGAAGAAGGAACGACCAAAACTAAAATTAGGATTAGATATTCTTCTTCGTTGTTATAGAAGATAATAGCCCCTCTTTATCCAAGATCCATTCTAGAAGGTGGAAGCTTTGATAAACCTTCACATCAATCTACAAAATCAACATTATAAATAACACGAGATTGTCGAGTAGCGACAGCATGATTCGGTTAGGTTTTAAGGGCAAAAGTTACCTAAATATATTTGTTCATTTAACTGGCCCTTTCAAAAGTAGTAAAAAATGTTTGTTTATTTAACTGGCTCTTTCAAAAGTGATCTTTAGGTGTTTTGATAATCGTCCAATTTTATCTTCTCCAGATGATTTCAGATTGTTTTGTGGCGATCTTGGAAACGAAGTAAGTGACGAATACCTGTTCAGGGCATTCGCAAAATACCCTTCGATTCTCAAGGCAAAGGTTGTTAGAGACAGAAAGACAAAAAAGTCAAAAGGTTTCGGATTTGTCAGTTTCAAAGACCCACAAGATTACTTGAAAGCAATGCGAGAAATGAACGGTAAGATTCCTACTACTTCATATTCACAACCCTGCCAAATTGACATGTCAACCACAGTATTTAATGCACATATCTTCCCGAGTCATGAAATTCTTTATTTAATGGGTATAACAAAGGCCAGAAATGCAGAAATTAGGTTTCTTCTTCATTTCGATCTAGCTGAGTCGGAAAGCGAATTTTTTGAATCATTATGGTTAGTCAGATATTTATTTGTTTAGACAGAAGGAGTTCGTTTTCGACCTTGGACGCCATTAGAATTATTTTCAATAGGCAAGCGGCACTGATTGGGCAACTTCAACAGTCATGTGATCGCGTTTCTGATTGGCCTCTTTCGATCCGCAACTTGGTGTGTTTATTTCCTAACTCTGAATATTCGATCTCTGTTCTGATGTTTTATGCTCTTGAAACTGTCAGGCGAAAAGCTTGAGCGTTCTTTAAAATGCCTGCTTGCCTGAAAGCCATTTTTAAATTATGTACCACCAAAAAATTGTCAGAAATTTATTTACAAAAGTGATATATGATTGATATGGACATGGAAGTACATTAACAATTCATGAGCATACACAGTCCAAAAGTCTATTTCGCTTTTCCCTTCTCCGCCGTCCGTTTTCTTCGCAGAAATCCAAAAGAGGGAAATAAATACTCCTCTCTCAAGCATGAAAAGACTTGGAGCAAGTCTAAGTTTAGAAAGACCAATATACGTATCAAGCATGTTCTACTTCCAAAAGACCCTTTTTACTTGCTGTTTTTTAGATGGAGAAACTATATATTGTTCCACACCATAGACCTGTTGTAGAGAGCTCACACCCTTCATTTTCGATACCTATTGCTAAATAACGACCTTCTTATACACTTAGTGAGCAAAATTATTGCACAGGTTTGACAAATGAGAAATGGCGAGCGCGTCGTAAACAACAAGGCGATCGATATTGAAATCACTTTTTTGTAGCCATTAGGCGTCTCTTTATAGTTAAAAACCAATCAAACCAATTTTCAAACTGTTGGCAACACTTTTAATCTAAAGATTGAAAAAAATTACTTTTTCAAAGGTAAAAAAATTTAACATTTTATTGGACAGTCTTGCAGCTTTGAAGCCTCTACGAGACTTGCTAGAAGTTTGTCAGAAAGTTTTTTAACAGGTACTGTTGATCGCGACATGATAAATTCAGAAAAACATTTGCAAGATCACATTTAGGTGTCGGAGTACAAAGTTGATCATTAATGACCCTGTATTTGTTGGAAAGTGGCATGTAGTAAGCCATTTTTTAAGCCTACTCTTTTACAGCTATTGAGGCACTTGAGTGAACCTGTTTATCGCGGGAGTTTTGGTATTTTCATTTAATGAGAGGACGAAATGTTGGTTTACGCAATTTGCATCGTTATTTGTTCCCATTACAAAATCGAAATCGGTTGGAAAAGATGGACTTAACGAGTTGTGACACATTTTATTTATTGAATTTTGCTGCAACATATCACGAAGCGGCCGCTGCGACTAGGCCCATTGCAGCTCCAAAAATTTCCAACCAAAACATTTAGCAGATTCTCCAACAAAAGTGAGGAAAATCAGCAGTTCTAGAGACCCGAGTTCATTGTAATGAGATATCGCAAATTGGTGCAGATGAACTTTTTTATTGCGAATGTTTCACAGGTACTTCAGTCATCCTGGCTCAATTTTTGTGTTTTTGCAACAATTCGATATTGTTTAGAAATATACAAAAATCCAGAATTTTCTTGCATTTTCTACTGTCAGCATCAAACCTTGATAAACTTTTCAATATATTCCAATTAAAAAGTCATCTTATATATTTTGTGACACTTGCTATGGCCACTTTCTAGTTCGCTAAACAAAATTTCTGCAGTGTCGCGATTTCTGTTTCAGCTTGTGCAATACCTTTGCACACTAAATGTTTTTTTTGTCAAAAAGATTGAAAAATCGATTTGGTTGCAGGAAAATATGTGGGAAATAGACCGATCAAGCTACGCAAAAGCACATGGAAAGATAGGAACGTTGAAGTCGCCCGTAAAAAGGAGAAAGAGAAAAAGAAGCTTGGCCTTAGGTGATGTATTTGTATTGGACCATTGTTTCTTAAAAAGCACTTACCCGTGTTTGTTTGAATCAGTCCTGTTTGTGAAGAAACAAGTGATGAGCCAGTAAAAACTCCAGACGCCTCCCTGCAAAACGAGCACTGCAAAATGGACATAGATTGATTACTAAATGACGTTGCAATTATTATTTTGTTGAATGTTGGTTGGTGACCTTACAGCAAACCTCTTTTTTAAGGAATTATAGAGAACCCGCAGTCAGACTTAATAGTTACCTTCATCTTTTAATTATGCTTTTCAAACGTGGTGCATACCAAAGTACAGTATCCCAACTCTGCCTCAATAAGCGCCATTTTGCCCAACTACCCCCCTTTTTAAAAATTCTTTCCGATGCCACATGATCTGTTGCCCCCCTTCCTCTCTCCAGCTTTCCACTTCCCCTAAGGTTAAGAATTGTGTTTAGTAACGATCCGGTTGTTAAAACCCTTAGTTGTTAAAACCTCTAGCTGTAAAAAGTAAAACCTAAATACACGAAGCTATTCTTGTTTGGTTGTATTTCCAATCTGATTGCTTTCTTTTTCTTCTTTGCGTACCGCTGATTGAATATGACGTCATCATTTATTCAGATTTCTGTTGCTGTTTCCAAGCAACGGTAGACATTATAGTGAAAGCTTATTTGCTTCAGGGTCAAGAAGGTATTGGCAAGTTGACCTCTAACTTGGATAGAAGAACATAGCTAAAACTTTCTTAAAGAAGCTGGAAAAAAGTTAAATGCTCTAGCCAGGGTTGCTTCGTATATGGATGAATGTAAACGAATACTTTTGCTGAAAACGTTCGTTTTATCATATTTCAACCACTATCCTATCATTTGGATGTTTTGTAGTAAGAACAAGAAATAGCCAGGATTCGGACCCATGAAAGAGCAATGAGAATAGCTCTTGATGATTATGAATCAACTTTAAAGAAAAAATAAAACAACAACTCTTGTAAAAGAAATTACAATACCTTACAAAAGCAATATGAAAACATTTAAAGGTTTAAACCCAAATTTTATGGATGAAATATTTTCCATAAATGAATGCTCTTATAACATAAGAGCATCTCAACTTAAACCAAGGGGACCTCATAACATAATAAATTGATTTAATACAGTATCATTTGGATGCAACCAAAAACGGAACTCAATCCCCAACGAAATAAAATACTCCGACTAAACAAACATTCAATAAAAATATTTGAGAGTTTTAAAGGTTTAAATTGTGCTTGCAAAGAATACATATGCAACACTGGTTATTGCTGATTTATATTGTTTGAAGGTATTTCGAATTAAATGGCTTTCATAAGCTTTAGTGTAGCTAAACATTGTACCAACTTTTAATATTGAAAGAAAGGAACGCTACAAAATATTCGCTCTGAGACTTAATATAACAACTGTCTCAAAGCCTTATGAATTGTGTCAAAAATTGAGATTTCTCCTGTGTTTAGAGGCGATGTCTTTTTGTATTTTACAATCAAGAGATGTCTTTCTGTTCCAACAGCGTGGCGCGTGAGTCGCGTAGGATTGAATTTTTTGTTGCATAAGAGTGTAAAAACTGACCCACTCGTAAAAATATACCTAATTATTTGAGATAACATTTAAACAAAAAAGCAACGTCTTGGTAAAATTTTAATTTGATGCAAGCTTCTGTTTTCAGAGCTCAAGTCATTTGAATGACTTTTTACAAGAAGCAATAACTAAAATTCAAATACGTTGGCATTGCTATCAGTTGCCTTTAGCATCATTTAATCTCCCTCTGTTTGTTAAATGTTCTTTCTGATCAATGCCACGGGGCTCTGACGAAGATGAAATGCCGTTTTAACGGTAAATGTTTGCACAACGTTGAATCAGAAAAACGTTCTTGTTTGACATAGTCGAGTTCTAATTAAGCATAATCGCTAAATACCTCAAATGATTATGTTATCAGTCAATATTTTATGAAAATACTTCTAATAAGGATTCTGCCTCCACGCACGAGCGAATTCTGGCCTGCAATCTTATGCTGTAAACCTTGTACGAAGACTAAAATCATTGGTTCAAATCTCGAGCAATGTCTAATAATTCGAGGTAATCAACTGCATTTATTTTAAAATCTTCCAGTAGGATTTTTTCGAAAATCTACTTGTTTTATATTACTAAGCGTATATTTTTAGTTAATACTGTCGCAAAAACTCTCTTAAAATCATTTTTCTCGCAATAGATTGTGTGGCTTTAGAGAGAATCCAGCCTACATTGAAATAATTTTTGAAAATTTTTACTTTTTTGCACTTGCTTCAGGAAGAAGACCTTTTAAAAATAAGTCGCCTTTTTTGGTTTTGCGAAAATCGTCGCAGTGAATGCTCCTATGTCTTTTATCGGGAACACAGTGCTGATAAAGACTTTTTTGTCAGAAAATTTTCTGGCCCCTATTGTGAATACAAAAATCCAAGCCGTGTAATTGATATTTTTTTACTGCTACCTATAACAGAAATGGGGACAAAAAAATTGTAGGCTCTCGATGTGCCATGTCTCCATTCTGAAAGATTTGTGCAAGATTGAAATAACTTCATATTTTTTGGTGGAAACAGATCGTGCTATAGGATATCAATTTAGTATCTTGGCCAATCATATTTTTTTGGATTGACAAATGGACTAAAATTTTGATAATACATTGGAATGGGGTCTGGCTCTCGTCATCTGTCTTCCCTGGGTATTTACACTCGTGACAACCAGTAAAAACTCTATGAAATGTCTTCTTACAGTTGGAAGATCTTTGGGTTGGACAGTCTATTGAATGAGCTCTTTCAACTCAAAATTGGGTGAACTTTTAGATAGAGAAATCTTAAAACCGAACCATTATGCGACGTCATTCCCCCTTATTCTTGGAAAAGACGCTATTCCTATATTTGAAGGTTTGATTTTTCCATCTTTATAGTTTAATTAACGGTTCATGAATATTGACTGCCAGGTACATCGAGTTAGGATTAGCATTTATGAATTTATTGACCCGGAGATCTACGTAGTCAGTGTTCTAATGCCAGTTGGGATGCTCTAAAGGTTTTATATCAGGGATGTTAGTATGGACTCTAGCAGAATTGATGAGATAATCTAGAAATGTAGAAAACAAAGCGATTTAAAAAGTTTATTCAAAATCCATTTTTGAAACCAGTTTTTATCAACTGGAAGAAAGGCTATGGCGAACTGGTGAAATCAAAGGTTCTAATATCTAAGGAGAAGCAATTAAATTGCACTAAGCTTAGAAATAGTAAAGCAAGGGACCGGAATCCGTGCGCGGCAATTCTGACTTTTTAACAACCAGCACAAAGATCCTCACGTAAGCTTTACTGTTTTCCCTTAAGAGTATGCAAAAATAATTTAACTTTTTATTGGCCTTTGCTATAACATATCCTTTAATTTTAAGTATATATATTACCAATTTACTTTAAAACTGTTTAAGGTATCCCAATCACATTAAAAATTTTTGCACAAAGTGCAGTTTTGAATTTAATCACCTGTTGAATGCTACCTTCCCTTGCTGCTAAAATTCGTAGACCAGCAATGATCGCAAAATTTATTCTAAGTCTTAATCTGTCTTGAGCTCCAAAAAATGAAATATTGTGAAGTTTTAATAATGCCTTGCAAATCAAAATTTATCATTCATTGTTGCAGCTCACAAGGTCTCTTGAGGGTGAATCGCCATATGTCTACACCACTGTTTGACCGTGGCATGTCAAATGCTGAACTCGTTCCTTTTCTGACTTGTCACATTTTAGTGGCTATTTCAAACATCATATTAAATTCGTCACTACTAGCTGCAATAAAGAAACTGAAGAAAGGAGGGTCAACCTCCTACATGTTCATCAAAGTGCTGTGCACATCTGACATAACTGTTGGCATATTCCAGTTTGTTTACATTTTTTTACGCTGTGGCATTTCTCAGTACGACTCTGAAACCCTTGTCAGGATGGAACTGGCCGTAAAAACAATTTTTTACTTTGGGGCACCTTTCTCGGGAGGCATGATTCTAATTATTTCAGCTGATAGATACATACACATGAAGTACCTCAACAAATACAACCAAATTATGACGTATTCAAGGGCCTGGATTCTGATTGGTGCTAACCTCGTCTTGCAGCTATCTACCTCGATCTCCTTGATGTTTGCATCCATGCGAAGCTACTTTGGAGTGCTTCAACCAGCAATTGTTTGTGGTTATATTTTAATGATATCAACATCAATAATCCTTTACTGCGGGGCCTACAAGTCCATAAAAACTCGTACCCGAAACTCTTGCGTCAGCGTCGAAGCAATTCCAGGATCGCCATCTACATCAAAAGAGCGAAGAGCTAGGTCCCTTGAATTTTCAAGAGCCATGATGTATATATTGATGTCTTTAGGGGCTTGTTACACGCCATTCCTTGTGTTAACTTCGACAAGATCGTTAATGCTCTGGCTGGGAAAACCTGTGCCTCATAGACTGATGTACGCACTGCTTTGGACGTACAACATAAACTTCAGTCTTTCTACTTTCAATGTGATCATATTCATAGCTTTAAACAGAGAATTTACAGCACACGCCAAAAAAATACTAGGAAAGGGAAGAGTTCGTAGAAGAAGCTCTCGCTGGACAGAAATGGAGGAGTTTTCAGATGTTCAACTGCCAAGAAAGGTATCTCACAGACTGACTATCGTATCTTTGCCTTGTTAAAGGCCAGGCCTCGCAAAAAGGATGCGGCTCTTGGGCAACAGGCACCTTCGAAATGGGCATTACGCCATACAGGATAATGCTAGCTTCATCATAATGTTTGTATCGTACCAGTAAAGACATTTTTGAACATGCTAGAGAATTACCCTATCCAGCCCTCCTTCCCCTTCCATTATTTAAAACAGTAGGTCAATTTTCTCCTCTTTGTAAGAATGAAGACTTGACCCAAGCAGGTTTAAACCATTTAAGGCTTTGATATCAGTATTACTGTTGGAAAGTGATGCCAATTAATAACGCTTCGTTTCTGTTCTATAAAGTAATGCTTTTCTTTTAGTGTATATCTTATCTGAAAAAAGACCTTGTTGGAAGATTTGGTTTATAGAAGATATTATTGCTGTGACAAGGAGTCAGTTTATGCGTCGTATCCATATGAAATTTGGTATTTTTGCCAATGTGTCAGATATTTGAAGAATGCTAGGCTGTTTGAGAAAACAGTTTGTGAAACAGGTATAAACAGGTAATTCCTGCTTAACCCTAGAAATGACAAAATCTCCATAAAATGGAAGTAAACGAAAATTAACTGAGTAGATTAATGCTTTTAAAAAATTCGTTTGACTGAAATCAATAATTGTATAGCAAAGTTGATTTTCTTTTATGGTCTTGGGCACAACCAGAGGCCCTCGATCAAATATTGAGACATTTGAAAATTCATTCAAAATTCCTGGTAACACAATATTTGACCAATGAAACAACATGAAGCAAAAAGAAAAGCTAGTGCACAGGAAAAAGCAAACAACTAGATTTGGTTCCAAAAATATATCTTTTCATTGATGTTGTGCTTCAAATCTTGCGAACATTGGGAAGTGGCATCGTGGTGAACACTAGGATGGAGGGCAGAGACAGCAAAGGGTTACTTTAGCATAAAGTTACGAGAAAATAAGCATAAACTTGTGAGAAACTTCTCGGTGTTGTGCTATTGGTTCAAAAATTTTCACCTGAATTCTTGGAACCATTTCAAAATGGGGGGGGGGGTGACCTTCTTGCCCCCCCCCCTGCCACGATGCCACTGATAGTGACGAAGTAAAATCTTAATAATTATTGAAAACTATCAAATTATTATTCGAACATACAAATTTATGGTAAAACCGTCTGGTCAACAGCGCACATAAGCTAAGACAAATATTAAGAGTCATTGAGAGTAGCTGTGAGAAAACTGGGTGTTACGTACAAGCCTAAGGCCCTTCAAAAATACAACCAAAAAAGGGCGTGGCGACCATGGGGGATAATAGGAGGGTAACACATCCAGTCTTTGCAAAGAATGCCAACAAAGGGAACTAGAAAGGGGGGTAAGAGAAGAGTAAACCAGCTGTCTCAGGAAAGTATTTCTAAATATCTCTAACTAGCTTTCTTTAACTTTTTGTATTTATGTGTCGTAAATTTAAAAAAAAAATACTAATCAAGCCCTGATTTTGATAATGAATTAGTAAAATCAAAGATTCATGCGACGATAATAGGGACTGTTTATGCTGGGAAAGCTTAGAGAAAAATTGGTATTGTTTTGAAAAAGTAAAATAGATGAATCAAATTTACATTACATTACGAGGACATTTTTAACGTTAGGGGGAACAGAACTGAATATCGAAGCAAGTGAATACAGAGCTCGCTTATACATAAAACACATTTTTAACAAGTCTACATTTGAACTCAAGAAGAAGATATGTTACTTATCAGCTTCCTCTTGTGCAGCTTCCGGGCTTAAAGGCAAAGAGTTCACGTGTCTCAATCCAACAGTAAGGACCTTTTTGATGCATGCAGCGATGAGATCACTGGCTTCTTTGGCCTCATTGCAGGCAAAATTTAAGTTTAAAAATCCATGTGGTAAATCATCGACAATGAAAAGTTCAGGATCTTTCTGCAGCTTTTTAAGACGGCGAACGAAGTCTATAGAGTCGTCAAGAAGGGGGTCCAGGGAGCAGGCCTGTGTTGAAAAAACCAAGTATTTTAAATGAACTACACACACGAGACTATCAAGAAAATCAAATCACAAACAGAAAAATGGCTTTTCAAAACAGGACGCTTCATAAATATGAAAACTATTAAAGCTCCACGCTTTCTTTATGATAGTGCTGCTTCGACCAAGAGTCATGATAAATTTTCTTTAAGTTCAGGAAGAACGAGAACGCAGCAGCGATCCAATATTTTAGGCTATCCTGATCAAAGTCAACTTGGTAAAAAACATACGCCTAAAAAGAGGCTGAACAAGCATAATGAAATGACAAACATCAAAAGCAACTGGTATTAATCTAAAAAGAGTTAACCTAGAAATTCCTAATGTGTTTAGCTGCTGTGAGGTAATATGGCTCTAAATCTTTCCATTAAACGAATTTTGAGAGTTTTTAGATATAGAACCAGGCACACCCTTACCACAATGATCATTTTTGGCAGCAACTTCAAAGCTTCGTCTGAAGCAAGCAATGGAGACATTAAAGGATCTTTGCATCTTTTCTTCATTGAGCTTGATATAGAATCGCTTGAACTTTTTCTCTCGTAAAACTTTTCTACTTCAATGCTGCTGCCACTTGCAAATGAACCACCGGGATCTTTTTCCAGATTTTCCCTACTGACAATTACACACTCACTTGTTTCCTTAATGTAGAGCGCCCTAAGCCGAGTGTCAGATACAGTGTCATTGTTACTTTTCTGATCAGATTTTGAACTGTTATCTACTCTAGGGCAATCAGTTAAACCTAGGTCCGCATTTTTCTTTGCTTGAGATTCAGTCTCAAGACATGCCTGAGTACGTACAATACTCTCTGCAGTCACTTCTGTCTGTCTAATTGACGGATCATCAATATGGAAATCTACGGAATTAGCCCTAAGCCTTTGGAATGACTCCGTTATACTGTCACTGAGAGATCGCCTATGGTTTGGTATTGTCTTTGATCGACGTTCACGACGAATCAAAATGTCAACGTCATTAGTGTCATTGGTAGTATGATCTTCCTTATGGTGTTTATCTTCTCCCGACAGCGCGTTGGATTCATTTTCTTTATGTTCAAGTTTAAGATTCTCAGAAGCTTTAGGCTCAAAAATTTCAGACTTAGATTCACTCTCTTCGTTTAGATTTAACTCATCAGTTTCAGGGAATTCGTTTACAGATGTTGGCAGAATTCGTTTTCTTTTGACGGGGACAATTTTGGTCCTACGCTGAGTATCCCCTGTAACATTTGCCTCGATTGGATGCATCTGTATCCCATCCACTTCGCTATCACTTTCACTACCTCGTCTCGAATTAGCTCTTGGCACTTCAGTGCTTGTCTTCCGACACCTCAAGCAACCAACCAGAGGTCGCGAAACGCAGTAGTGGTCACTTGACGCAAGATTGGAATCCGACAGCGACCTACGTCCGACAACGTCACTCCAGTGTCTATGTTTTGCCATAACCGCTGCTTCCCCAAAATCAAGATCAAATGGATTGTACGCATCATCAAACCTAGCTGTTCGCAGAGAAGTTGTACTACCAGTCTCCTCGACTTCGTCATCAACATTTCCAGCGTAAGCACGAAGACATACTTTCAATATTCCTGGTGGGAGCAGCGGATCCATTAATGCAAGCATCCTCGATGGCGAAGGAGCATACTGAACACGCAAGGGAGGGTATGCGATAACGAGACCATTAGGTAAATTCATACCTTCTTCGATTAGTTTCAATGCCAAAGCAACCATAAGATTACCTCCTGAAAATGCGATTTACATTGAATTTTAAAATTTATTCTTTTACACATAGAAATCAGGTAATTTTGAAGATTTTTGATTAAAAAATCTGTCAAATTAAAAACCGTAGAAATTTATAAGTTCCTATCAAATTCTGGAAATAAGGAACAGTTTTTATCACAAACTTATTTGTAACTACAAGAAACGTAATAGAAAAAAAAATTAGAAACTATCCTTATTCCCTGTTCGGTGTGAATTAAAGACCTCGATTTGAATCAAATGTGCCGTTTAGAGGATTTCAGGACCATGGGGTGATCCCAAAGGAAGACAAGGAAGTTAATAACAGCAATATGCAATCGTATATGAATCTACTCATCAAATATTCAAACACAAGAATTTCAATCCGCTCAAGGACATTTGTGTTTACCTGCAGAGTCCCCCGCAAAACAAATACGTTCAGCTGTCCATCCTAACGACTTGCAATTGAGAATGGCCCAGTTATACACGTAGAAACACTCGTTAAGAGCTTCCGGGTACGTTGCATCAGGAGACAATGAGTAATCTATTGATAAGATGGGACACTGAAGCTCTTTTGCCCAATTTCGTAGGTAAATCTAGATTGAAAATGGACAATTACGTTGTTAGCACGTTACTTGATAGATACTGCAAAGTGCAAAAGGTAAGGAAACATAAAAACAAAGGTAAGGAAACATAAAAACATTGCTATTACAAAAAGCGTTGAAATCAATGATTATGTTGCAGAATACATCTGTTTGCTTGAATACAAAAAAATCATCCCACATACAAAGTACCTGTACAAAGAATCTCATCTTTGGCACAGTTTATAATCACATGTTTAGAAAAAGCTGGTATTGTGTTTATCTGAATGTTTTAAATTTTATCATGCTGACATCAATGGCCTCCATGCTTTTACCATTCTCAGTAAACATATTGAATAACTCGTGGAAATAAAAATCCCTCTCTAATTTTTGAACGTACAAAACTTAACAGATGTGTACTGTAGGAGGCTAGGGCAATTTTTCTTTCCAAGTTTCCATGGACAGCAATAAAAGCTTTTGAAGGTGGAACTCCTAGTATGGCTTCTTCCTGACCTAACAGGTTGTGCACATCGACACAAATTTAATGAAATGACTGTAGCGAAGCGATTCCCTTCAGATTCATAAGAAAAACTTAAGAATAAAATTGGACAGAACTTTGCGCCCTGTGGCATAACATACTAGCGAACAGAGATTGGAGTTTTGATCTACCTAGAGGGTAATATGTAAACAGGCGAGAGCTAAAATGTCGACACTGTATGGCTTTATTTTTTTCGAGGTAGCTTCAATACGTTTCCTTTGGTAACCTGTCAGACAGCGAGCAGCCAAGGTACTGAAGGGCCTAAAGGCTACAATGTGTTTTACCAGGACGTGCCGGTCTGAAGCTGATAAATTTACATAAAACGATAGATTTAACATCTACAACAAAAAGAAGTGTTACTGCAAGTACGTATTTGGGTGAATTTGGAGGTAGCATCTTATTGAAAATTTCCATATTCAAAAAAAAGATAAATAAGACTAACCTCGTGAGACTTTGATGACTGTGCTACAAATCCTCCACCATGACAGTGGAGAAGCAAGTTCTGAGACAGGCCATGCATTTTTCTTCCATGCGATTCTGACATGTTCTCGCTGCTCCCTTGTTTTCCCTTGGAAGCAAATAGAAAAATAGTTAAGAATATCAGATAGTTCTTACCAAAGAAAATCAGCCTGCATGTCTTGAACTCGTTTTCACTACATTCAGGTATAAATCTTTATCAATACTAAATTTAAGATGAAAAAATACCAAATCTGGCAAACGAACTCAAAATTAACTAATAATTTGAAACAATCGTCTTAAAAAAACGCCAAATCAAACACCAAAATAGATTTTCAGCTTCATATCAACATTTATCTTTTCTATATCAGAGTGAATGTATTTTCTTCTTTTTAAGGGCCTCGTTGCTTTCAGTAATGAAACTAAAAATTTTTTGTGATGGTTCAATTTTGGTTTTTAAGTGGCAGCGCCATATTGTGAAGGACTTGATACCACATTCCATTTTGTAATCTTTTTTTGCAAGTTTTCGTTCAACAGACCTCATAAAATGGCGCGAGACAATTTCTAGTAAAAAATTGGACATATGCTGATTTGCCTAAACTCTAAATCATACTTTTGTACCAATATATACCTTGTGTATTTTATTCTAGCCTAAAACCAGCATCCTATATATGTTGTATTCTAGAATTGTACGCGCTATAATGATCATGCAAGACCCCACAACCTCACCTTTGTGGTACAAAATTTCAAGTCTTTCACAGTAGTAGAGTATACATATTTACATACCTGTCCCTCTCTCAGTGAATATGATAATAGCCTTGCGTGTATTATTTTTTGTCCTTTGCTTTGAAACGGTGGGTTGATAACTTTTTTCCCATTCAAGGTATCAACAACCAACGGTTCAACTTTGATCTTCAGTTCCTTGTTTATTGACAGACTTGGACATATCAACATTGGCACATGCTGAAATAAAAAAGAGCTAACTCACAGCAGCTTAAACGAGAATTTTCAAAGTTTATTAGGTCTGATGAATTGTGTCCAAATTGTACTTTCTCAAAAATACAGCCTTCAGGATTGTCACAATCAATTTCTTGAAACAATGGGTCTTAAGTCGCTTTATCTACAAGACTAAGATGTAAAATGATATAAATGAAATCTATAATTACAGTCTACTATAATAAGGTTACCTGAATACCATGATTTTCAGTCAATGACCAGAAAGACTTGCAAAACGGCATGCTTACATGCTGTGTAAGCTCAACAATTCTTTTTGCACGTAATTCAGGATCCACAACATACTTTCCACTATGAAGTACTGATGAAAGAGCTCGTGCAGTTTCTCCATTATGACGTTTGAAACCATCACCGTATGCAGCAAGAGCAACAGCAACAACATTCAAACTTTGCTGCAGTGCAGGACTAAACTGTGAAGATTACAAAAACTATGTAACATATACATCAACATTAGTTAAAATTGTGAATAATAGGTTGGAGGGTTGAATCATAAAATTCTAGGTGGAGACAACTGCAAAATTTGACCATGTTTTCAATGCTGTTTGGGAGTGCTTGATCAAATTATACACAACGTTCAAACAAACAGAGGCTGAATTACCTACAGGATATTCAAGAAATTTTTTCACAAAAATTAAAAAATTTGTGCATTGTGTAGCTTGATACATTAGCCATCTCACTGACCTGATTGACATTGATACAGTGGTTATGAAGGAATTTTTACAAAGAAACGCACTGGTGTAATTGCTATCAATCTTGGGGCTTTGTACAACCAATAGGCAAAAACAAATAGATGGGAAATTTGTGTGTGTGGGCAATACATTGCAGCGGTGTAGCCTGGATAATACTTATTTTATAAGTATTGACATTACCATAAATGTTTTCTGGATGGAAACATCCATTTTTCGATTTCTTCACATCAGTTGAACTTTCAAGACACAAAATGATACCATTTTTAATAAAGTAAACAATCTCATGAAAACGAAGGTTTCCCTGATTTCTTTTTCAAAGTTTTTAGCTGAGGTTTGTGATTGCTTGACCTGTTGTTAAGATTATCATGGTTGCTTTGCGGTTGTAGTCTTATGCCTCATTTATTGGAACTGGGTACAATTGTATGGGACATCACATGCATGGCTGTGTCTATTTAAACAGGCTTATTGATCTTAAAACTTCAAATGTCTTGACCTGATGATTTAAGAGTGTACCTTGCAAGTGTGATTAGTAAAATCCTGTTTTCTCATGACTCACCATTCCTCTACATACAGGTATGAAAAAGCTTTTTTGTACCCAAAGAGCAAATTGAATGGCTAAAAAACCTGCACAGGGCCAGAACAGATGTTGGGTTTACCCTTACAAGCAAATTTTTGCATTTGCTCTGATCTGTCTTATAGCAAAATACAACTGTGGGAGTGTAGAAGAATTAATTGCAAATTTTTGATAGGGTGTAGTTTAAAGGGGGGGGGAAGAATTTGAAAAATCAAAGATATTATTTGGTAGATATTATTTGCACTTCTTGTTTCTGGCACATAACCAAGTAGGATGGAAAAAGAGCATCAAATGACAGTCAAACACATGCCTGCATGGTAAAATGGACTTTGAAGCGACTATGATGATGATGATGATGATGATGATGTTGATGATGATGATGATGTTGATGATGATGATGATGATGACGATGATGATGATGATGATGATGACGATGATGATTGATGATGATGATATTGATATGAGTTGGATTTTGTTATATCAAACACAAGGGTACAAAATAACTTATGGTGGTACATTCTTGTAAGAAATAAATTTGACTGAAAAATATCGTCTTACAATATTTGCCAATAACTTTGCAGGCACAGCAGAGTAAGGGGGCTGGGGGGCTTTAGGCCCCCCACTTTTTTGCATAAAATGCCAAATATTAAGTATCAAACTACCAGAAAAACCCCTTTTATACGGTTTTAGCCCCCCCACTTATTTTAGACCCCCCACTTTTCTCAACGCTCCGTGGTGCCTGCTTTGACATGGTTGGAATCATTATATTCTTGTGCATTGAATGATGTATAGTGTAATCCCATTCTGTTAATAGTTTGGCTTTAAGGGGGAGAGAATCAAATATTGTGTCAAAAACATTTACCGTAACCTTAAATGAAATACCTGAAAGCCAAAACTTCTACCATAAAAGCATTCTCGACTGATTGTTTCAAAATCACTCATTAGACCATCAACTTCATCTGGGTACCTCTCTTCATCAGCAAACAATGAATCTTGGTCTAGAATGGTTCCAAGACTTAGAGCTACTTGAATCACTGTAAAAAGCCGGGAAACAACTTGAGAATATGACTCAATTTCCATATAGTTATGATAAGAACGAAAAAAGAAACGGTCTCTGCTTTTCTGAATATAAATTCCAAGTTCTAGGATTTTGAACAAGCACTTTTCTGTGATGACTATTAAACTCCTGAAACCATTGCCTTTCGTTTCCTCATCAATATCAAAATGTGTACAGACTTTGGCAAGTTCACTCAAGGCTACTTTCATTGGCTCTGTGACATTCATAATTCTTTCAAATGTCTCAGCATATTGTACATCAATAGGCTTTTTTCTTGAACGAAAGAAACGAAAATTGTCACTAAGTACGTCTGTCAGCTCATCAAACAGAACTCCGATTTTTTCATAAATGCAATACTTTTCCTCCATCTTTGAATTTTTCCACGGTCTTTTACTCATGCCTCTAGCATGTTTACAGAGTGGCTTTAACTTTTTGTAACTAGCGATTTCTTGTCACATCCAAGGATGAGAAATATCAATTTTTACCTGAATTTTTTTCGCGTGAAGATGAATGGGCCTAAATAAATGGCGTGAACTCGACCTTGAAATCTGAGATATTTTGAGCATCATGACTTTGATAGTCATTCCTTTACATCTGATAATCTTTGGGAGGACTTAGCGATGTGTAGAAGTGTGCAATAATTTATTGTATTTCCCGACACCTTGAAAAATGTAACAACTTGTCCTTGCTGTTTTTAAAATGAAGCTATAAAACAAACTTTGCCTCGTTCCGTCAAATCAGAAATGAGGCAAGAGCGCCCCGCCCTAAACTGAAATTGGGGCACTTACAGGGACAGGTCAGTGGTACAGGTACAATCAAGAATAGATAAAAATTTATAATCGACGACAAAGATCATTACGTCTTATAGTTTACATTGCATTAAGATGCAGGGCCGCCGAGAGGGGGTGGGGGCAAGGAGGGAGGGCATCTGATTGAATTTAATTAATGAAACATAACAAAACTATGCCTAAAAACAGTAAAACTTTTAGACCATTGCAAAAAGACTGCAATAAATAATTTAGAATGTATTTTAAGGTTATCTTAGCCAACTATCGAAAGAAAACCAAGCATAATTATCCTTCATACTGGTACTAACGACCTCTCCCTGAAGCTAAACAACGAGCAAAAATCCAAACTTCAGATCGCAAATGAAATCATTAAATTGGCCAACTCGATCAAAGAGAACGGCATCGAAGTTGTCATCTCTGGCTTGCTACCTCGCGGAGACAGATTTGAAACAAATCGACAAACAGTTAATTTCATACTTGCGGATTTATGCACAGAAAATAACAAAGCATTTTTAGAACACGCCGATATTAGTCCATCTAAGCATCTAAATTCTAGCAAGGTCCGCCTTAATAAGGTGGGAGATAGTGTCTTTGAGAACAACTTACTGCATGTTTTAAATTTTTGACTGAATGGTCGACCAGATTTTGTAGGTTATGGAGAGGATGATTTTTTGACCTCTGTGCAGGTTTCTTCCCCCTCAGCTCAGTCAAACAGAGCTTATGATAATAATGTTTCTGCTATCAGACATAGGAAAAGAATGACGATCGCGTCTCTGAATGTGAATAGCCCCTTGCTTCATATTGACGATATCCGTAGTCTTACATCGATGATGCTGCTGTAAGTATTGACGGCTGTTCCATTAGGAGACGTGATCGTAATCGTAATGGTGGTGGCGTTGCACTATATATTAAAGATTCGATTGTTGATAAATGTTCTATACGTGTAGACCTTCCAGAATCGCCACTAGAGTCTTTGTGCATGGAAGTTAAGCCATTTCGAGCTTCCCTGTTTTTGCTTGATATCGTCCCCCTAATGAGCGTGCTGGTAATTTTCGTCAGCTAGAGGAGAGTATGCAAGTTCTAGAAAGAGAAAATAAAGAAATTATCCTCTTAGGGGATACGAACTGTGATATCTTTCCTAATTGCGCGAATGGGAGTAACTTGAATGGAGTTCTTCCAGCCCACTCGATGCGTATTCTAGAATTTTATGAATGTTTTCAGCATCTGATCAAAAAAGGAACCAGGGGGACCTTGGAATCTACCACCTCAATTGATCACATTGCCACTACTAACAAGTCAAATATAGTAACCTCTGATGTGCATGAAACAAGTATCAGTGATCACTACATGGTATACTGTGTAGAAAAAGGTTCCGTGAGGCTTCGAAAAGACAACACAAAATCATTACTACAAGGCAACTCAAACACTTTGATCAAACAGAATTTATAAATGATTTACTTCTTGTTGACTTGAAGGGAATTGTCTCAAATGGCGATGATATTAACCTCATCGTTGAACAGTGGACCAAGATGTTTTCATTGATACTTGAAAAGCATGCACCAGTACGTAATTTGCATCTTATCTGGATAACAGAATGCAATTCTGCAGAGTTAATGGGGTGTCTTCAAAGCTTGAAAATATAAATTCTAGGGTGCCACAAGGCTCCTGTCTTGGTCTTCTTTTGTTTTTGATATATATTAATGATCTACCATTTTCTTTTCAAAATAGTCAGGTTACCATGTATGCGGACGATACTGCCATATCATATTCTTCCAATAACATCGATGATATCAACGATAACCTAAATAGAGACTTGAACTGCCTGAAGCAGTGGCTTTGAGGAAATAAACTTTCTTTAAATGTTATTAAGACTCCAGCTATGGTTGTAGGATCTCGACCTAATCTTAGAAAGATCTCTGAAAGAAAAGTTCAGTCCCCTTCTTTTGCTATAGGTGACTCACAGATTGAGATTGTTGAGAAAACTAAGAACATGGGAATTCAGCTAGATCATCATCTTGTTTGGGATGATCACACTAGATTCTTGCGTGCTAAGATCTCTCGTGCCATAGAGCTTTTAAAGTATGTTAAGAAAATACTACCCAAAGAATTTCTTAGCCAAATGAATAGTGGTATCGTTGAACCGTATTTCCGCTACTGTTGCTCTGTGTTGGGGAGCAATGGGGAATCCAGAAGACTTACACTGCAGAAGTTACAAAATCGTGCTGCTAGAGTTGTAACAAACAGTAGCTATGAAGCACCTGCTGATGCCTTTACACAAAGATTAAAGTGGCCAAATATCGCTGAAATCATAAAACGAGAGACAGCGACGATCGTTTACAAATCCTTAAATGGTCTTGCACCAACATATCTCTCAAATATCTTTTCAAAGAACTCATCACGGGGCACTGTCAAGTTGAAAAACTCTGAGACTGACTCATGCATCCCTCTTTTTAAAACCAGTAATGGGCAAAAATCATTCTCATATCGTGGTGTACATGTGTGGAACTGTCTTGATCCGAGATTAAGCAAGCACCCTCTTTAAATGCTTCTAAACATCGACTTTAAAGCTTGTTTGATAATCATGTTTGATTTTAACTTTACTTTAGCATTGTAATTAAATTATTTGATTTCGTTTGTAGATTATTTTACTTGTAGATTGTAGATGTTAATTTTTTTCAGGGCCCCCTGAAAAAGGTCTTTGCCGCCTAATGGGACCAGCGATACTATACTATCTTTCACAGGGTGGCGTTCGTAAACCGGGGAACATTTACATTTACAAGGAGTCCATTAACATTTACAAGGATCCACAATAAAGACAACTTTTTGGATCGAAATCGTTTTTAAATTGTTTGGGGCTGCAAATGGGGGTCTTCAAAAACCAATAAAATGTCTGTTAATTCTAGTTCAACTGTAGTAAGCAACCAAAGCTTTGACAGCGAAGATAAACTTGTGGATTGAACTCGATCTTTTGTTGTTTTGAAATGTCCATTGTATAGATGTCTGACAAATAGAAATTTTGATGTGTCCGCTCATACACAGTGTCCGTAAACTCGGGTTTCACTGTAGTAAGGAAGCACGTCTGCCGCATTGAACTTCGATATCAAACTGCGAAAGTTTCAGTCTTACGATTTCTTCAAAACTTTGTCATTGAAAACTTTTGTTGTTTATACTGAAAACAGCAAATTCTACCCTGAGTAATGGAGCCACAGGTGAATTTGCCATGCAATTGGAATTTAAGCTTTTCATTTGGAACTGCAATATCATCTTAGATGGTCTCCCCAGATTGTGACACATAGATGGTTTCCCCAGATTGTGACACAAAGATGGTGTCCCCAGATTGTGACATGACGGGAAATGATATGAGCCCTAAAGTCAACAAGTGCAGAATCTTCAGCATAAAAACACAAAACGTTACCTTTTAAAATAATACCTGTATTAATCTAAAAGCTTTAAATAGAAGGTTACAAAAATACAAATGAAATTGTCATTAATGTAGAAGAATGTAGAAAAAATTCCCCGGTTTTTGATTATACTTAAGCTGCACAACGGCGAGAATAGAATATGAAAGTCCAAGATCAAATATTTGTCTTGAAAAATTTATTGCTTTCTGAAAATTATCTCTACGTAAACTAATTTAATATTATTTTTAATTTTAATAAATACGGAAAAATATCTGAGAGTATCTAAAGAAAAACATAAAAAGATAATTATATCAAAAACAAAAAACGTTATGGCGGCTGTTGTGATTATCTGCATCAAAACTGTGGTTATATTCGCCAGTTTTCAAAAAGGGTCCAACATTAAAATGACAACATTTTGTCAAAATTGTATGACATAAACACTTTAAATATTTTCCTAGACCTTAAAAAAGAAGAATAAATGTTACCTTTTTTCTAAAATCCCTCGATAAAAGGCAGCTGACTGAGTATTGGATACAGACAGAAATTTTCACGTAAAATAACAATTTGCTGCCTAAGGGGCCTACTTTATTGGTCAGGGCCAAAACACACTCCAGATTAGAAAATTTTTCTTGCATCCAAAAATTGACCGCCTTGCATATCTTTGATAGCAGTTTCTCCTAAATTACCAAACAGGTTTAGTATACTAGAGGCAACAGATTACATGAAGCGAAGATTATTTGAACAAGAAACTCTGATGCTGACAGTGCCATCTCCGTCTACCATTGCTCCTGCAGAATCTTTTATTTTCACGCGGTGTGTCTCCAAAAACGTCTTGTCATTGGCCGTGATTTTCAACTCAACTTCGCCAATCAAGGAATCAGGCATCATAGTGTTGTGATCCATTACCTTTAAGAGACATCGGTAGAACTCAGTCAGTAACTCTTATTGTCGATTTGGGCAAGCATTTTCAGATACTAAAAAGGCTTGAAACTACCATGTTGAAAATGCATACTTTACATTTAAGAAGAACGATGACACTTCTATTTCAATTACCCACAACAGAACTCATTAAAGTTACGATAATACTTTTAAAGGATATTTTTTTGGAAAAACGAGAGAAATACCATTCACAAAGGAGAGGAAGAGAATCAAAATTTCACTTCATTTAGTGAATGTCTCCATGGTATGGAACAATCATTCAAAGTATTGTGGGTCTACTGCAATACGTTTTGTGTAAGTGAATGACAAAAATATCGACGAATTCCTGATAGGCGTTGTCAATGGTGAATCGCAAAGTAAGACGATGAAAATCGACCCTTTTCTCCCAAATTTTTGAACATCTTTTGAAAAATTATGTAATCGACCTCTGCTAAATCTGAGATAGACATATCTCCTCGAGCCGGCCCTGTGGTGACGTTCTCGTTTGAAATGCATCTCATTGTTAAGACCATAAATCTGGGAAACTGTGAAAACAGTTGTGTGGTTACCGGTTGATCCTAATTGATAAACTATAGGTCATAGATCCTACAAAAGGCCTTGAAGAAAAGTTCTAGAAATACAAGAGAAAACGAACCATCCCCCCTCTCCCTAAAACAAGGGCTGGTAACTACAGATAAACACCTCACGGAAATATGTACAAACCTTCAACTTAAGCATGGACGTCTGTGGCTTTTTCACGTAGAACAAGCCCCCTTCTTCATATTTCGCACTTTCTGTACTGCTCTTTACGGATGTCTTTACAGTTTCGCCTTCGCATTCAATGGAGACATAAGGGTCTAGAGCTGCGGAAAAAGAAATAGCACCTCCTTCATTCAAAATCCCCAACTTAGAATAAGGCTTAGTCGTACAGCAACTGCCAAAAGACAAACAAAGATAAAAAAAGATGTATTCAACCTCCCCTCGTTTCCCTTACAACAATGCTGGTTGGATGTGAAATGATTTATGAGGCTAGGAATTTACGCATGGCTTGTGTAACTTCTATCTAGGGTGTAGTAAGATCCTAGCGATAAAAAAATATACAGTCTTTAACGCAGTTCTAACAGAAATTTATCACGACAGGTCAAATGTATCATTTTCCACATCTATCTATATCCTTTATAAATTCGTATCTTAGAATGCAACCTCCCACATTTTTTCCTAATTTCCTTAGATATTAAATTGGTGCGATGTTTTCGAAACATTATAATGCTTTGAATAGTATGAGAGTCAGTTTGAAGGAAGTGTCTTTTTGGTAGGGCAAAGAAAAGATGGAGTAAAGTTTTGTATTTCCTGTTGCAGGAAAATGTAGAAATGGTTGATAACCATCAGCTTCAGGGTACTCTAGGGAATTTTTTAACATATAAACCAGTGGGGTAATTCCCCACTAGGCCCTAAGACTTCCGTTCTAGTTTTACTGCAATGCCCCACTTAAAGGAACCCCAATCGTAAAAACCAAATTCAACCATCTCTATTTACTGTCCAATCCTGCTGTCTTCTATGTACATGTTCAAACATATCTGCTGCATAGAGTTTCTCTATGTGATCTTAAAAGAACCTTATCCTTTAAATCCCCACCATAAGAAATTCCTTAAAAGACTTCCTTGGGCCATGCCGAGTTGTTCAACAGAAAATGAATTGCAACCATAAAATAAACACCCACTCATACTTCGGCCGCTCGTCTTTTTCAGGTGATCAACAGCAATAACGAAGACAGACAGAACGCAACGCGGTGGGTTGTAGCACGGACAACACGACCACCAGGGCGGCATCGGCTCGTCGTGTTCAATGTATCTGAAGGGAAGAAAACGATTTATTTAAGTGCTACTTGCAAATGTGAATCAACATGCGAAACAAATCTATACTAAATTTTCTACAATTATTCAGAGAGGCAGATATAAAGTCTGTATTCAGCAGCGAAAGATGATGCCTTAACGATAGCGCTTTTTGCTTCTAGAGTAATCTAAGATGATAATGCGTTTGAAAACTATCTTATAGGGCTTTCTAAAGCATACCTTAAATTTTAAGTTAATGTTACATATTAACGACAAATTATTATGTAAAAAATCAAATGGATCATATTATTTTTATGAATACTTATTATTAGTAAAATCAACTTTTACACACCCGATGAAAGTTACTACTTTTCTGTCCATTTTTACAAAGATTTATCAACCAATGTAGAACATACGTAGGTGGAGGCAAAGTTTTTTCTTTTCTTGAATTACCAATGTTCTCAAAGTATGATACAACAACAAAGACAATATATTTCCGTGAGAAACTGGACCGTGCCTTACTTTCATATTAATGATAGGGAGACGCAGGTCACAAAAATATTGCAAAAAGGAATCTATTTTGTATTTCCTAGCTTGAATTTTCAATCACTATTCCGACGTTTTATACTTTGAAGAGTGTCAGGCAAAAATCTTCAGCATGTCTTTAAATGTCATTTTCAAATTTTGTACCGCCAAAAGTTATTTTTGCACATACTGTAAAAGCACTTATCAGAAAATATATATCCAAATTTCTAGGAAAAACTCGAAAAGCGAATGCCAAAATAGATCATTTTACCTGAAATGAGGATTGCTACTGGTGTAAACTCGTAACAAGAATTCACCGGGAATATTTGGTTCAAAAGTTGATGGAATTATGACGTATCGTCCTGGGTCCAACTCTAGGCGTGAGAAAACCTCTCTTGAATTGATGAACGTGGAGTCACCGGCTTTTTCGTAGACTGAGTGAATTCTATATGCGCGGTTGAGCTCGATCTGAAATGCAGATTCGGTACAAATATGAATACTTTGTCCCATTAGCAAAGTTTTTATGAAGACTTACCAGGGGACACAATTGGCAAAGGTTTCGCCAAGGTTAAAAGGGCTAAATTTGAGTGTAAACGAAACCTGCCTGGTTGAGCCAAGATGCAATAACAAGAAGTTTTTACAAGGGACGTTGCAAAAATCTGATTGTATAAATGTTTTTAGCATTATTCAAACAAAATTTACAGCTTTTAAGTCTCGAAAAAGTATTAGTTCTTTACAATATTCATCTATACGATCAATTCTATAAACTTAGGCCTTTATTGCTCCTTGTTCTACATGTGTTTGCATTGGCTGATATTGTCCAAGCCTCGAACTGAGAAAATGACGTCATGTCAATATCATGGGTTTGATCTTTTACCGAAACTGGATCCTCTTCTAATTAAGCTCATTGCCTATGTAGACTCTGAAAATGTAAACGAGTTATTCTGCTCTTAGTACTGAGCCTCTTTAGAAAATTGTCATACTGCTCGAGGGTTTAAAAAAAGTTTGCTATTTTCTATTCTCTATGTCTAAGCCGTACCTGCATTATGAAGAATCCAATGGTGAGATTTTCACCACCTCTTCCTTCGCTCTTCTCCCTTCGCTTGTCTTTCTGCATCAGGCTAATCATGGCGACATCCTTTTCACTTCCAGTAATGTCAAAGCGAAACTAAGTGGATCAAAATAATTTGGCGGTTATCAGATGTAAGTTTCGATCATGATACACTCTAATATGGAACATATTACAAAATGGACCACAGCCTGCCATGTTTTGGAGAATATTTGGTATACTATTCTAATGCTGCCCCTGCCAAGGACTCGGCAACAAACAAGAGTCAAGACTCCTAACCCTATTAGATTGACAGGAACGAAATTTTTCCATGATAGCGCTAATTATTCGGTATTTTACTAAAATAGCCACAAATTTATGAAATTTCTACATTTAGTACGCTAAACAAACGCTGTTATGTAAAATGGAACAAATTGGTGAAAAGAGAGTTTGATTAACTTAATTCTTTTTTCACTGTTATTAACCTACAATCCTAAAAACTGTTTCAGAATCGTGTCCATTTTCGACCAGAATCAGTGAAGGAAAAAAACAAATTAGGATCCGGATTCAAAGCACATATCCGAGATACACCACATCTTTTCCAAAACTCGCCAATGTAATGCCATTATTTTGTACTCAAAAATCTTGATTATGTGCACAACACCATTATTTCTACTTCGCTCTGTGGCTATATAAAAAACAGACACAAAAAATTTTTCTAATAAGAAGCTATAAACACATAAAATATGCCGAAATATCATAGGGCAGCAGTGCTATACAGTGCAGGTAAGATTAAAAGGAGCCAGCTAGTAGCAAAAAAGACGATTTATTATCGAATACCTGGGGGTTCGTAAGGAATGTCTGCTTATTGTTGATGCAGCCACCAGCATTTTGACCCTCGACCCACTTTGTTTTGTGGCTGCCTTCATGCCAGGTTTTGTGGAAACTGAAAACTGATGTATTTACCAACCTACAGCCAGTGATGTTGGTGAAATGGCGGCAAAAATCCTCAAACAACATCCTAAAATACAATAACCAAAAATAAACAAAGTTATAAACGATTTGGAAGTTTTTTAAAGGACAAATAATTGATGCACTTTCCTTTCAACAAGGCGGCCAAAAAGTAACCTACCAGAATTCGCCGTCATTTTCGACAGTTATTCCAAGTTTGTCTCTTTCCTTTTTGCTAACTTTGTTCCACTCTGCAGAGCTGAAAAGCAAAGAAATTTCAAATGACTATTATGGCAATTTCTAAGCTCCTAGTGTTGTAAAGCAATGAGTGTTCATTTCTAAAAAATCCGATACAGATTGAAAATTTCTAATCAACAATTGCCAAAGTCCCTGCTCGCATAAGCAAGATTAATGCAAAATGAGAAGATACAGCCGAATACCACGAAAAATACCTTTGAAATCCGGAAACATAAAACCAATATCAGAAAAATAAACTAATGTTTTGCACTGATAAATTGCTGGCTATTTTTTTTAATTAAGGCAGGTAGATAGGTGCTAACTGAACACAAACCGCATGCTGCATGATGCTACCTCCCATCGTGACTGAGCTAAAATTAAAATGTTAAAAAGGTTGCCTAAAGTATTTTACTTCTTGCTTAATAGCTTTAGTCCATAAAGGGGGAAGCTATGAAGAATTACTAGACTAGAAGTAGCACAAAAATTTACCCATCACTCCATGGTCCATTCCACTCCTTTTCGCCCCAAGGGTTTCGAAGTCGAATCATAAACAACCGATTGGTATTGAATGATGAGAAAAAACTGTCACCCAGAGGTATCTAATAAAATAGGAGAGTTTATTAACTACACTGTGCATCACGTGTAAAGAAGATGTGCATTTGTCATTCTATGTCAGTATCACTAGATTAATATAGTTAGCATTCAAATAAATTGAGTACCAGAATGAAAATATAATAGTTTGATTGTTAAAAACACGACTTTTTGAGCAATGTTGATTAAGAGTACATGCTCGATAATATACTAACAGGTTTGGCATTTATATTTTCAAAATTGACATATAAACATAAGTACGGATATGAAACCTTGTCACGATGCTTTGCCTAGGTTTATCGATTGAAAGTATATTTGTTGCAAAGAAGAGATAGAAAAGAGACCAAATGGAGTAACCTGAAAGAAGAGCTTGATTAAATAGGAAAAATAAAGAGAGAGCCAAAAGATTCAGGAAAGTCGATAAAAGGCAATCAAGAAGATAACAAAGGAAGAATAATGAGAGAATAAAATCAGTTGGGTGTTAAAACAGCAAAAGGACCTTGAAAAATGCCGAAACTGAAGTTGGCATAGTAAAATGCTAAATTAGTGGTTCGCCTCGAGAAGGATCCTAGGTAAGGTCCACATTTTTAATTAGCAAATGGATAATAAGATAAATGCCCACATACCTTTTCAACAGCTGTTATGCCATATGCATGACCTTTGATGAGTCCAGTATCAAGGCGTTGCTCCATTTCTTCACGTTTTGTAACCTTTGGTAGAAAGAAAATTTGACAGATCATTCTAAGAAAAACTAATATCAGTGTTTTGTTTCTTCAGGTTCCACTCACACAAGAAATTAAGAATATTTGTTGTGTACCTCTTCATTTTAAGCCTGCAGTGGATAACAAATTCTCTATGAAAGAAATTATACTGTTTTTTGTTAGCTAATACTTCTGAATAGTTGATTTGCAAAGCAAAAAGCAAACTTACTTGTCAAAATGTTACTTAAAGTATAATACTACGAATGCACAAGTTACAAATTAAGAAGCAAATTTTTGGAGTCATAAAATCTATATATCTTAAAAAATTTACCAAGGCCATGAAATATTTAAATATATTAAAATCAGTTGAATCTACTGCAAATTTGATGGAGAGATTTGTTTCTAATGAAATAATGTAGCCAAATATGAAAACGTTTGAGGTATTTAAGATGAATCTATTATGTTTCAAAGGTCTTTGAATTCTGACAGTAACCATAGGTCAGGTATAAAATATAATTTACTTGCTTCTGTATCATTACCTTAATAGATGCACTTGTCATAGACTGCCTATCCATGTATTTAGAGAGCTTCTGGAACAGCTCTTTGCGCTTTTCAAGATCATTGGCATAGTTGCCAGAAACCAAGTCAATGTATTCGCTAACACCTCCAGTAAAATCAACCAATGCCTCTGAAGGATTTCCAGCTTCTAAAGCTTCATATGTCCCTGCAAGTCTGAATAAAACTCACAAGTTGAAATTTTGTTATCTTACTACTTACTGTAATAATTCTATTTTGATTAGTCTTAGATGATAGTTCAAATGGAGGACCAAAAACAAAATAAATTTGTCTCTGAGTCCTAATTATCCTGCAATTTTATCAATGCCACTGTTACAAAATGATGCATATAGATCAGCTACATCTTTAATGGCCCATACATTACTCAAAATTAGAGCTCAGCAACAAAACTACTTGTAAGTGGGAGAGTACTCTATGAAAGATTCTAACCTTTAACATTGTCTTTTGAAATTTTTTCCAATCGATAGGAAGCATAAAGGCAGGTGGAACATGGACCTCAGTTGCATTTGTTATACTCTTTGTCAACAACTACCTACTGCCTTCAAAAAAGTTCTCCAAACTTTATTATACAACTTTAGAAGCTCAGATTTGGGTTTATTACCATAAGTTTAGGCTGAATACAATTCTTCATATTGTTTATGTGCTTTTATTAAAGATTTTACAGAGAAAAGAAGTTTGAAGAGTTGTGAGGGATTTCACAGCAAAAATTGCTCCGGGTGAAACTTTACCCCCTGAGTTGCCAATGGCAGTCACATACTTTATAAAGATTTTATCTTTATATTGTCATAAAATCAGTATTGTGAGCAATAACAGAATGAAAACTTCGAAATAGACTAAAATACTTCATCTCAATCCGAAACTGAGGTCAAAATTTTGTACAAAAATATTTTAAGAATCTTTCAAAATGAGGATGTAGGTTGAATTGATGATTGCTGTTACTCAAGTTTAGATTTACTTCAGATAAATGAATTCTAGAAATCTCCAAAATTTTCAGTCTTGGAAAAATTTCTTTGGCTCTTGCTCCAATTTTCCAAACCTAACTCAGTTCAGTTCAGTTATGTTCAGTATTATTTTAAATTCCACTGGATACATACACTTGTTGCAAATTAGAAATAATCCAAGCTTAAAAGTATAAACAACGTAAAAGGAAGTTAAATAATATAAACGTAACATAACAAATACAGAGTAGTGGAGAAACAAGCTAGTATTGTAAACAGGGAATTATTTAAAGGAGGAAACTATTTTAACCTTGCATTTAAATAGAGTTCTTTCTGGATTCTTTGAAACAAATCTCATCCTTTATAAAGGAGAATTCTAATACCTGACATTCTAAGACACAGCTTGCTATATTTCAACAAATACAAAAGATGCACAGAAAAAATACCTACTTTGCATATGCTTTCTCCAGCAGTGCACTCCAAAACTCATTTCTTGCTTTTGATTTCACATAGCAAAGTTCACCATTAGAGACAGGAAGGCGATCATCCACAACAACCTCTATCCATTCTCCAAATCTCCAAAATCTGAATCGGAAAATCCCTTGATAATCTTCTGCCTTTTCTGGGTTAAACTCCTGGTTTTTATGGTCTGGTATAACCTAAGAAATAAAGAAAGTCTTTTTGTAAAAAGGCAAAAAAACAAAGTAATGTTTTTATGGTCTGGGAAAATCTAGGCTGTAAAGTAAGTCTTCTTGCAAAAAAGGAAGAGATTGGTGTTGCTTGCCATAGTACAAAATACTTGCCAAGTAGAAATAATGGATTATACTAAGATTTCTATTTCTTTAGTTATGACTTACAATGTTATTTCTAAAGCATTGTCGAAGGGTACAAGAAAACATAAATACTGGTATGTACATACATAAAATAATGAAAAGATGCATTTATTGTTTATAAGCATTTAATAGCAAACTAGGTAATGAGATATAAAACTTAGCAAAAAATATTTATAAAAATCTTGAGCAAAGGATTTTACAGTCTTTAAAGAAAATATATTTCAAGATTTAGAATAAAAACTAGAAGAATATCAGATATTGATGGCATCTCCATAGCATTGCAATTAATATATACATGTCTGAGAGAATCTTTAGTCTTTTGTGTTACTGACAATAGAGTCTGTAAATGTGCTCAATTATTTATATATATTTACTCAATAAGCCTCAAAATCTATTTCTTTACCTTTGACCATAAGTTTTTCTCTTCAGCCAGAGATGCAGCAGCAGCAACAAACCAACAGTTTCCTAGACGACCTTGGGTAACATCAGCACTACTGGCCCCATCTACTGTGAACCTGGGATCATCGCATATTTCCTAAAAATCAATTGAATGAGTTAAACACTGAGAAATGAAATCATAAATAGAAGCTGCTTGAAAATTTGTCTTGATAAATGTTTTTGTTGCAACATTCGCATGACCACAGTGAAAAATATAAAAAGCTCTAGCAAAAAATCCAAGACTGAATTCAAACAGCAATGATTTTAAAGTTTTCCATTGTTAATGAGTTAGCAACACAAAACATCTTTTTTTCAAGTTATGTGAGTTTGCTAACCAAACAAACAACATCATTTTCTTTACAGCCTATTCTGCAAAGCAAGGGTTTTGAAAGGCCCCAGGATCATAGCTAATTTCATTTAAAACCCCTTGGTTTTACTTTTTCATCTTTGGACCTTATATAAGATATTGCAAGAAGGGAAGTAACAGCTAAATTAAAAGTGATTACTTATCATTAATGATGATAAATTTGAAAAAAAGTTAACATAAAAAGAATGCAAGGACAAAAATTAGCAGGTCATTATTTCCAAACAAAGAAACACCCAAATAATTTGAAAGCTTTGAATTTTATTGCTCTCAGCCCTAATTTCCAATAGGTACTTAACATGATCTGACAGCTATTAAAGCCTGTATTGCAGTACTAAAACAACATTGCTTCTGTAAATGTCAGTTACTCTCAGGTCATTAAACCAGCTTTATAGCTAGAATTAATTCATTTTTATCAATAAGCATGTGGGCATTGTAATATGGAACAAAGTCAATGAATCATTTTGTCAAAAAAAAGAGTTTACATGAAAAATTACATTTTATTTCAGTGTTAAGCACATATGTATACATTGATATGTCAGACATAAAATGTTCAAATGGGGTAATCTTATCTAAAAAGGGTTCCCTCTTGATTTCTTCAAAACACCACACATTAAGCCCCCCTCCCCTATATTCAATGAAATTTAAATCATAAGGTATTATTATCTAAGGGCCATATCATTTAAACACTGGGGCCCAACTAGCTCTTGATTACCCTGTTCAAATTTCCCTCCTCCAAAATCCAGTGAGGCGAACATCAATATATTTCTCTCATGCTTTATATTGCAAGAAGCAACCGATTTGGGTGAGGTTTGGTAATCTCAACGATAAATGCGTGATATTTGCTAGGCTATAAATGGAAAGTGATAAAATATTTACCATGTCATAGAGAGCTAAGTATCGCTAATTTGGCTATTTCGGTTTTGACTTCAAATAGCAAAAAAGCAAAAAGGTTCAAACTGGGGAATATATTCATTATTCAGAAGGACAATTGAAATTTTTGACTGAAGGAAGCATCATCGAGCGATATTAAAGAAACTTGAATAGGCTACCTGCTTTCGAAAAGGGCATCTCTACATCTAAATAAAGTTCAATAACAAAGGATTTTTGACTTTATGAGGAGCTATCAGATTTTATTTCAGTAAAAATGCTCTATTATTTTCCGTTAGAAAAGATAACTGCACAAGCCGCGCCTCATCTGCTATACACAACAACAAATCGAGATGAAATTGTGTGAAAGCCAAAACCAACGAAAATAGTTCACAATCAAAACTAAAAAAATTGAGCAAGTTAATATGAAATAGGAATGGTTTGAAAGAGGCTATTTTGCTATTTTGATGGGAAAATAAACCTAAAGAACATAATGATAATAAAATTTGTAGGGTACCTTAGGCCTTTTCCACTCGACTGCGAAGGGTGGCGAAGAGCGGCTGAAAAACAATGATGATGTATCTGCCTTGAAGAGGTCGTCCACAAAAAGCTGTCCAGATGTCTTAGCCTTATCCTTTAAGGCAGAGTAAGACTGATTACCAAACTTCGTGTAGTTCACCATATTGTTGAAAATGCCAATATTCAACTGCGTCCATCAGAGATCGAGGAAGGATTTTCGATCACAACAACAACGGGAAGGTGGTTGCCGCCCATCGTTGCCACGGGTTGCAAATTCTTGTAATATTTATTCCACTTATCCACCAAGACAACATTTATGGCAAGAAAAAGTATTGCTAGTGTCGACGCTATAATTATATCAACTCTTCCATGTGCAGTGACTTTCCTCCTCAAACTGTTGTCGTTCAGGTTAATTTAATTCTAATATTTCAGTGTATAGTATCATAGGTACCGATAAACAAATGCTAGTTTCGAAAAGATTGTAGAAGAAAGTACGGGTATTCAAATTACCAAATCAAATTCATACACAATAATAAGTAGCTGGGATGAAAAACATCATAGAACTTGCAAGTTTTCAAATCAGAAATTGTTGCTGCGGATGAAGAAATAAAAGTATTAAAAGTAAAAGCTCTTAGGATTTTCTTCTGTGAAAGGATACAAAGGTTTACAGAATTCAACATGGCTTGAAATGGGCATAACCAATTATTATTCCACTGTGAAACTTCCTGTTGTCTATAGTACAGGGGCGTCGTGACCGGGGGCCGGGGGGGCTGTGGCCCCCTCTGCTCTCAGAATTTGATGGTTTTTCGGAAAAATC